CCCCCTCTCTTTTTTTCTGGTCGTCTAGTGTTCAGAGGCAGCTATATAGCATCAGCAGAAAAGTACTCCGTCTCCTGCTGTTCAAAGCCATCACTGCTAATACTGTCGCCGTTGTTGTTGTTGTTGTGGCTGTCTCGGGAACTCCCGTCTCCGTCGTCGTCTCCGTCTTCGCCGCCATCGTTCTCTTCGCTATTGTTAATTCCATCCTTCGCCGCTGCGGCATAGTAAAGCTCCCGCAGGAGCAGCCCTCCCTGGCCGCCAATCTCCTCAAAGACCGCCTCTGCGGCGCTGCCCAGAACCGGCCGCAGCTTGGCCATCCACAGGGCCGCGCCCGCCCCCCTTAGCTTCACATACGCCACCAGCAGCTCGTTGAAGGTGACCGAAGGGCTGAAGAGCTGAAAACGGCGCGGCTGCGCCTGGTAGAGGGCAAAGAGCTGGCGGTGCTCGGCGCTGCGCAGGTGGGTGCGCAGTTTGAGATTGCGCAAGGAGACGACGGCCGTCGTGCGGAAGGTCATCAGGTGGCGGACGCAGAGGCGGCAGATGCCGAACATGCCCAGCGGCCCGGTGGTGAGGTGCTGCAGCGCGTAGAAGGTGTAGCCTGGAAAAGCGGGATTCAAAAGTGGTAAGAAGGGTGGTAAAACGGAAGGGAAGTTCACACAGAATCGAACTACTACTTACACTGCTCCGGAGTGATCATCTCGCCCTCGTTCACCTTCTCCTGAATGACGGCAAAGTCGGAGCGGACTGAGTCGCTGGGCGGATGACGCTCCAGGATGGGCGCCAGTTGCGGGGCGACACGGCGCCGGTCGGCCATCTCATCCGCCACCTTCTTCCGCCGGTACTTTGAGCTGGCCACCGCCGAGGGGTCCACTGCGGCGAGGTAGTCCTTGAGGAAGGGCTGCAGCAGCTGCACCTTTTTCTTTGGTGGTGATGACGGTGCTGGAGAAGGAGGAGGTGCTTGAGCTGGAGTTGAACTAGGGGCGCTCTTTTTCGCTTTCCACTCCGCTGAGGAGTACTTTACGAGGAACCCGTCCAGGTCGATGTCCTCCGCCCTGGTGAGATTTGCCGTTGAAGCAGCGGCGGCTGCCGCGGATGAGAGTGACGCCAGTAAGGGCTGTGATGATTCAAGAGGCGGCTTGTTTTGTGACTGTGGTACGGGGGCGGCCTTCTGTATCTGTTGAGCAGACATTCGACCTCGTTTTGTGGTATTACCTGTGGCGTCAGGAAGTTGTGCGTGCCTCTTCAGCGGCATCAGCTTGTGGTAGGCGGTCACAGTCAGGTCGGCGATGTCGCTGCACAGCTCGAAGAACTGCCCCGGAGAGGGCACCCCATTCTCCTCTTCCTCGATGGGCGGCTGCGCCGAGACGACGGCCCGCTTTGTCTGGGGATTGTAGAAGAGGCGGACGCCGGGGCTGCCAAAGTGCAGATTCCGGCAAAGGTGGTCGGGAATGGTGGTCAGGGAGGTGGTGTTGCCCACGCCAGCGGCGGAGGTAGAGGCGGAGAAGGAGGAGGGCGCGATGAACTGAGGATAATGGATAAGAGGAGAAGCGGTTGATTTGACTGATTTCGAACCTGACATGTTCGGCGGCAGAACGTTCACAATTTGGCAATCTTCATCGCCGCCAGACACCGCCGTCGGCGGCACCACGATCGGGTAGAGCTTGTCGGCCGTGCCGTGAATCGACTCGAGGAACTCGGGTACCATGCCATTGCGGTAGATCACCGTGAACTTGGCGCAGCCGAGCAGGTGCAGCTTGATGAGCTCCACTAGCGGGTAGCCGCAGGCGGTGTTTCGCTGGTGCTGGTACGCCTCCTTGCAGAAGTGACAGACGACGGTGTTTGAGGGGTTTCCATTCGAGTCGTCTGCCGGGCGGATGCAGGCCATGGCGAGGCCGGCGCCGTAAGAGAGGTTTTCTGGTCCGAGGTGGCGAGGGCCGCCGCCGCCGCTGGGCACCCTAATTCGCGAGAAGCCCGCCTGCTTTGCCTGCTTGTCGCTGAAGAAGACGTCCAGCTCTGCCTTTGTCAGCGGACCGGTCGTACGGGGCACCGTCGACCCGGGTGGCATCTTCAGCTGATGGTGTCCGGGCCTGGGAGGAAGTGGCTGGAGATGACTGGTGGCCGAAACAGTGGCCGGATTAGGTGGAGTTTCAAGGTTAGAAGCTTGAAAAGAAGTTTGTTTTGAAAGAAACGCGAAAAAAAGCTCCGAAGGGCAGTCATTTGAAGTCGTACGGGGCAGCTCACAAAGTAAGAGCGCGGGTGATGGAGTATGCGAATGGCCCTCACTTTTGGCTAGAAAGCAAAACACATGCGAGAGTTGATTCTGCCGGAATTTATTTTCAAGGATAAAAAAACTTTAGATAACAGGTGGTGCAGCCAGAATCAAGCTTAAGATTAAAGATTGAAGAAGAAGAAGAAGAAGAAAAGCCAAGCGGTGGTATTGCGGTGATTTGGAGCAAAGGAGCCTTAAAAGGGTGAAGTAAAAGCGCGCGGAGCTGAGATAAAAGTTCCTCAATTTCAATTTCGAAGACCTCCTTCACTCCACGGTTACTGCTTCTTGCCCGAGGAGTAGTCGTAGAAGCCCTTGCCCGTCTTCTTGCCCAGATTGCCCTTGGCGACCATCGACTCAAGCAGCTTCGACTTGTAGATGGTCAGATTGGGATCGCCTCGGGCCGACCACGCGTCCACGATGAACTTGTTGGTGTCCAGGCCGACGTAGTCTAAAAGAAACACAAATATGAGAACCCAAAGCAAAACACAAATCAACCCAATCGCTTACCAAGCAACTCAAAGGGGCCCATCGGGTAGCCTGCGCCCAGCTTCATGGCGACGTCAATGTCGCGGGCGGTGGCGTCGCCTCGCTCCAGCATGCGAATCGCCTCCTGCATGTAGGGCACCAGCAGGCGGTTGACGATGAAGCCGGGCGTGTCCTTGCACTCGACGCCCACCTTGTCGATGTCCTGCACGAACTGGGCGAGCGACTGGTAGGTTTCCTGGGAAGTGTCCAGCGTGCGGACGATCTCCACTAGCTTCATCAGCGGGACGGGGTTGAAGAAGTGCAGTCCTGAAAGAGGACAAAGGAGTTTAGTTCAAGTCCTTGATGAGCTCTAAAACAGGAGCAAACTCACCGGCAAAAGTGGCCTTCTCCTCGACGTGCTTGCCAATCTCGCTGCAGGCGAGCGAGCTGGTGTTCGTGGCGAGGATCACCGAGCTGGAGCCCTTGAACTGGGCGGAGAGCGTCTTGAAGAGCGTCTGCTTCGGCTCCAGCAGCTCGGGGATGGCCTCGATCACCAGCAGATTGGCATCGGTGGGCGGCTTCAGCTGAGTGGTGGTGGAGATGCGGGCGGCCACCTCATCGGCGGGCTTGTCAAGTTTGNTTCGATCACCAGGAGGTTGGCGTCGGTGGGCGGCTTCAGCTGAGTGGTGGTGGAGATGCGGGCGGCCACCTCATCGGCGGGCTTGTCAAGTTTGACTGAGAAGAAATAGGTTAGTTTTAGAAGTTGACCCAAAGTCGAACTCAAAAGTACTCACTTCGCTTCTTCTCCGCCATCGACGCCAGATTGGCCGCGATCTTCTTGTGCGCCTTGCCCAGCTGCTCCTCAGAGACGTCCTGCAGGGTGATCGACTTGAACTTGCCCGTTGTGGCGCAGGACTGGGCAATGCCGCTGCCCATCAGCCCCGAGCCGATGATCATGACGTTCTCGACGCGGGCCAACGGCGCGCTGGAGCTGAAGAACCGGCTCATTGAGTTGCTTCGAGATGAAGCGGTCTGGAGGAGACGTGCTGAGGCCATGGTAAGGGAGTGAAGATAAATGAGTTGAAGATGAAGAGGTACTTTTACAGATCTGCAATCAACAAGAAAAATAGAACATCAAATCAGCTACTCAAAGGCCACCACAACTCAGCAACACTGAGCTTACAAGGCAAAGTCAAACAGTCGTCCGTCAGTGAGGCAGTCAGTCAGTCTGTGTTTTTGAGCAGCAGGTCTTCAGTGGCAGCAGTGGTGATGATGATAACAAGTCATCCTCTCTTGTTGTCCACAATATCAGCACCTCTCCTTCTTCAGCAGCAGCAGCAGCAGTGCACCAAGAGAGACATTGATGCCAGGCGGTGATAATGGTAAGCAGTTCAGCCGAGGTACACAGCAGCGGCTGCGGCCTAAAGACGACATCTGTGACGGGGGACTTGTGCACCCAAAAAAGAAAGAGAACTTTCGGCAAAGAAGAAGAAGAAGAAGAAGAAAATCACAGCGCTTCGGGAACACTTCTTCCCAGCAGAAAGAAAGCGTGCGATTCGCAACTGCGCACACTGGCTGTGTCCTGGTAGTGGTAGAGAGAGAGAAAGCAGAGTGCGCTATCGAATATCGAGCGAGACGAATGCCATATCTCCATTGACGGTGGTCTGCAGCGCCCAATTCCGCTACCACTACCCGGTCAGAGCTCTCCCCCGGGGGAAGTTCCGCAGAAGACGGTACTGTTCGCTGGAGGCTAGGGCGGCGAAGGAGTTGGTGGCAACTCGTTTCGAAAAAGGGGAGAGAGAGAAAGAAAAGTGTCGCGAAGAGAAGAGAAGAAGAGCACCAAGCACGCACACTCGCTCGCTCGCTCGCTTTTGCTCACTCATCCAGCGTGATCACTTCTTTTGTTCTCCCACTCTCTCTCTCTCTCTCTCTGCAGTTCTATTTTGGAATCGCTTCTCTCCATCTTATCACCCCGAATCACATCTTATCACATCACTCGCTACCCTCCATCACCCACCACCCTCACCACCACTCAATCACCCGTCTGCGGAGATAATCACCAGCAGCTCAATCATCGACGCTTGAAGTAACGGCAGAAGCAGCTGCTTCAGCTCAGCTCAGCTGGAGCTTGTCCTGTCAATTAACTGGAGCCCTGTCACTCACCGTCGTCGAAGTCTTGCTACTTTTGTAGCAACGCGGAGTTGTTGGCGTTGGTGGAAGTAGTGGTGGAAGTGGTGGTGGTGGAGGCGAAGCTCCGGTCGTGGTGGTCGTCGTCGTAGTCGTAATAATCTTCTCCCAGCTATCTTTTCTTCTTTTTGCTGCGCCTCTACTACACGGGCGCCTTCTTTGCCTTCTTCTTCGCCTTCCTTTCCTTTGTTGCCCAGTCATCTCGCCTTCTCCTCCACCGCAACTGTGCGCAAACATCAGTGGCGCCCAGTCGGAAAGAGGGGTTTACACACTTGAACTGAACTGAACCACAACAGAAGAACTGCAGTGGAGGAGGAGAAGGAACTGTGCTGCGGGAGATAGAAGCGGATGACAGCATGGCGTCCTGAAGTGTGCTATCCCCCCTCAAGTTAGTTGTAGTTTCCCACCCGCACGCACAAATGTAGACGAACATAAGGGACAGCGACCACGACCACCGCCACAACAATAACAACAGCATCAAGAACAAGAAAAAACGAAGGTGCCAAACTGGTTTCTGTGGTGGTGGGGCTGTCCGGTAACAGTGGCAGCCGCTGAAGTGCTGTGATAGCCGTCTTTTCGAATCTTTGCATTTCCCCCGCCCCTCTGATCGGGTAAGTGATACAAACTGATGGCGCGGGAATCGCCGCCTTCCTTTACTACCTCTTCTTTTGCCCCACACTATACCTCATTTTTTAATTACTTCTCTTAAACAGCAGCAGCAGCCATGGTCGTCTACCTTGACAAGACCGCCCTGCCCGACCCGCAGCCTCGATCTCTGGTGGAGAGCCCAAACACAACCTGTGATATTGGTGGTGGTTGTGGTGGTGGGAATGGCAGTGAGGAAGAGCGAAGTGGAGCCTTCGCTTCCGGAGAGGCAAGTTTGCGAACTTTCGATTCTAATAATGTCACCTTTGAGCCACCGAGTGAGCACACTCTCTACGGTGAGCAGCAGCAGCAGACTAAAGAAGGTGCTCCGCTGCAGATGATGTGTGCCAGTCGTCTACTGGACGGAAGCCCTACGGTGGAGTTTTTTAGTGAACGAGTCTCAAGTCTGAACGACGAGGAGGAGAGGGAGGAAGTGGCGGAAACTTCCTCATCACTGACTGAGACTGCTAAGACGGCAAAAGTCCAGGATTCCAAAATACAGAAGAGTGAGCGCGAGAAAAATGATGAGGCAACTGATGTTCTTTCAGCCGACGAAAACAGCGTGGAAAGTGCCAATGTTTTGGTAGGGCCCACGCAGCAGAAGAATGAGATGGATGACACCAAAGTTGACGACAACGAAGAGGCGACAGCAATCTGCAGCCTATCCAAATACGTTCAAACCACCAACTCACCATCTCGACCGGAAAGCGCTCAATCGGACGCCACTGAAATTGACATCGCGGAGTTTCTCGGCGAGGAAGAAGAAAGTGGCGGCATGGCCGAGAATGATGAAGCAATGGAGGCAGAGAAAGTTTGCCAAACTGATCGCAAACGATCGAAAGTACGCGCCCTGCAGAAAAAGTTCCGACGACCACCACGTGACTCGGATGAAGAGGAGTCTGAGTCCGAGTCTGATGGGTTTGGCAAGCACTCCACTGACATTGCCACTGAATGGGCAGTGAGGAAGGCAAAGGGAAAAAACTGTAAGAGAGGGATGCCTGGTGGAAGCGGTGATGCTGGCGCAGCTCAGCGACGAAAGGAGGAGCGGATTCCGCAGCACAATCGCCGCCTGAAGCTTGACAGAGGAAGTAGAAGCCACTGGGCCGAAGAGCTGACAACGCCGGCGGTGCCCGCCGTTGTGCAGGTGGCCTCGGTGAAGGCTCCGGTTTACAGCAAGGTCGCCCTCTGCCCTGGTCGTCAGGCGGAAGGTCTTCCGGTGGCTCAGCAGGACGCAGCAGAGGATTCAGACGAAGTTGTCCTGCTGCCCTCACCAGCACCACCGCCCAAACGCCGCTCTCGAAGAGGAGGAAAAAAGAGGAAGAGGAATGCTCGCCGAAAGTCTACCACCGCCGCCACCACTCCCACCCTCATCAACCCGGTGAAGAGCACTGCTGAGTACTCCTACAAAATCGACAATACGAAGTTCATTGATAAGCCGGGCCTGCGCGCCATGGGCTACGGCGTGATCTGGGATGAAAACTCGTACGTGGAGCTGCTCTCCATCGAGGACTGCATGCCCTGCTCGCTGGAGGACATTCGCGATCTTCATCTGGACCACCACCTGAAGGGGCTGCCCGCCTACGAGGAGGAGAAGGCGCAGATAAAGGCGAAGAAGGCGGAGGAGAGTGGTGGGGAGGAGAAGGTGGTGAAGGAGGAGGAGGAGAAGGCGGTGGTAATGGACCGCATCACCATACGGCAGCTGAAAAACCTCCACAAGGACTACGAACGTCGCGTGGGGCCAAGCAAGGACGGCCTGACGGTGGTGCGACTGCTGGCGGTGATCACCGGCCGCCACCGTTTCACGCACAAGATGAAGGTGCTCGTCGAGTGGGACGACTACTCGACGGCGCTGGTCGACCTGGGCGACCTGGCGAAGCGGACGCTGCCGCTGCCGCACCTCTTTCAGGAGCAGCTGGCGAAGGTGCTGCTGACGGAGCACAACTACAAAGCAAATCACCGGTGGCCGGTGCTGCTGCAGTCGGAGCTGAACGGGCCGCGGGGGCTGAATGAGGTGGTGCTGCCGCTGCTGAAGGCCATCGTCAAGCGGGCGAAGGCACTCAAGGCGCTCGGCCAGACCATCGACGGCGCCCTGAAGGAGGGCATCCACAGCGTCTTCACCACCACCGCCTGGATGGAGTTCACACAGGAGCGGCACTTCTTTGGCGGTCCGTCAGCGGCCGCCGCGGCGAAGGGTTCGCTGAAGCGCAGCGGCCGCTCCAAGGCTTCCACCTCCGCCGTGCCCGCCACCGAGCCCTACCAGGTCTACCTGGCGCCGGGGACGCACCGCCGCGAGGACGTGACGATGCGCCTCGATGAGCTGGAGCGCCTGCCGCTGCACCTCTGCAAGTCCTGCCACCGCTTCTTCATGGCGAGCGACGTCGACCTGCTGCTGCACCTGCTGAAGGAGGACGTCCACGAGGGCTTCGTCCTCCCGCCGACGCCCCGCGACCAGGAGGAGGTGGAGCGGCTGAAGGCCGTCTACGGAAAGGTGGTCAAGCTGTGGAATCAGGCGGAGGCGGCGGCGGAGGTTGTGAAGGAGATGGCGGCCACCCCACTGGAAAATGGAAAGAGTGCTTCCAAGCGAAAGCTGCAGGCCTCTAAAAAGGAAACGGAGGAGGAGAAGGTGTCGCAAAAGTTGAAGAAGTTGAAACTGCATAATTATGATGATGAGGAGGAGTAACAGAGTGGCCGAGGCGAACAATGAGGCGAACAAAGTCTGCGCGAAGTCCTCCAAGTTTGCTAAACTTCTTCTATTTGTACATTTTGAACATTTTATCCCNTGAGGAGTAACAGAGTGGCCGAGGCGAACAATGAGGTGAACAAAGTCTGCACCAAGTCCTCCAAGTTTGCCAAACTTCTTCTCTCATTTGTACATTTTGAACATTTTCCCTACTCTCTCATCTCATCTCGTCCTTTCTATTCCGTCGTCACCGCCNATGATGATGAGGAGGAGTAACAGAGTGGCCGAGGCGAACAATGAGGCGAACAAAGTCTGCGCGAAGTCCTCCAAGTTTGCTAAACTTCTTCTATTTGTACATTTTGAACATTTTATCCCGCTCTCTCATCTCATCTCGTCCTTTCTATTCCGTCTTCACCACCACCGACACACCACCACCGCCATAATAATAATAATCATCATCATCTCAATTTTAATTTCTTCCTGTATTACCGCACTCCAGCTAACTCCAAACCGACTTCCTCTTCTTCTTTATCCTTCTCAAAACATTTCACTTTTCTCTCTTTCTTTCTCTGCACCTTTACCCACTTCATCAACTTCGTCACCACCGACACCTCCATCATTTTAAACCTCTCAACTCATCGTAATTATTCATCCTCTCTCAACCACACTCACTCCAGCTCACGCCTAAGTGACTCCATCCTTTCCACCTTAATAATACCTCTCTCTCTCTCTCGCCACTCCTCAACCAATCTTTACCACCAAAAGAAGTTCTTCCGCTGACCATCTCGTCGAGTGAGCAGCTCGTCAGTAGCAGCCAAAGTCTTGCCAACCGAATCACCCCACCATCACATCCACAACCTCAATCACCAAACTACCTATCGAACTTCCCCAAGTCTGTGTTCCCCTCAGTCTGCTTTGATCTCTGCACCCTGTCTGTCATCAAAACTGCTGAAACAACCCTTTTTGGCAGCCCCGTTTTATTATTTTTTTTCAGTGTTTTTTTGTCCGTCAAAACATTGCTCTGCAGTGAACGGATGAGGAGACAGAATCTCAATCTCAGCCTGCTCAGCAGCCAACGCCAACAGTGCAACAAATGTGTCAAAGCAGACGCGCAATCTTCGTTTTCGCGGTCATCCTCAATGAACCGTGGACCACTATTTTTCCACTGTTTTTTCTATTCACATTCTAGTGTGCCACAACAGCGAACCTTTTTAAAATTTTCATGAATTTTATTTTTGTTCATCGTTTTTGCACCTTTTGATCGTGTCTGTTGATTTTGTTGCTGTTGATACTGTTGATTACTACCAGTCTACTCAACCGACCAAACAACTTCAACTACACCCACCAACACATCATCATCTATTCATCTGTCAAGTCTCCGTTTTTGCTCTTTATTATTAATTCTATTCTTTCGTTCATCACTCAATAACTTAACTTCCCCGTCATTGACGGGCTCCGGCAATGTCACTTGCAATTACCCAAAAATCTATTCCTCTGTTGCTCGATTCTCTCTCTCTCTCTCTCTCTCTTTCGTTTGAATCTTTGCAGGCAGCATCTTTATCTTACGTTTATTCCTTTATCAGCTTCTACGTTCCCCCTCTCTATATTGCATTTGTGTTATTATCACTCCACTACTTTTCAACTATCATCTTCTATTTTTATCTTCTATCATCTTCAATATCTCTTGGATCGTTTTCCATTATATTTTGTAGTAGATGTTGAACAAAAATGATAACTTAAGCGTACTCAGTGCGCTATTTTTCTATCTATCTTTTCTATTTTATTTTTTCTCTTTTGCCTTTATCTTCTTTCCATATTATATTTTGTGAGCAGTCAACTTATTTTAGTTTTGTACCTACTTATCTCCTTTTCTTTCTCTACCTTTCCTTTTCATTTCTTATATTATTTTTTACCTATTTGCTGCTTTTTCAGGTTTCTGTAATATCAGTAAGTTTTTACGGCAAAATAAGCTTTGTAATTATCATTTGTTTCAGAATCAAATTTTGACTAATCGTTTTGGTTTCTCTCTTTCAGATCTTCTTCATGCAGCTCCTTCCTCTTATCTCCACTCGTTTTCATATCAACATAAAAAATACAAAAAACCAAAAAAAGTAACTCTCCTTGGAGCTCTGCTCAAAACAACATATTAACCGTTTTCTCTTTTTCCCACCTTCCTCTTACCCCAGATCCCCCTTACTTAGCTTTTAGTTACTTACCACATGTTCTTGTTCCACTTTAACTTCTTCTTTATATCCTCTATCTATCTTTCCTATCTTTCCATCCACTGTTACTGATCTCTAGTGTTATATTGTCTCTGTCCTCTCCTTTTCTTTTCTTACCCCTACCCCTTTCTATGTCCTGTCCTCTTGTCACCCGTCACCTCATCAAAAGTACCAAAAAAATCTCTAAACCTCACCAAATCTCATAAGAAAAACTCTCTCAGATCACCTGGATCTCATAACTCATCTGATTTACCTCCTCTTTTATCTCTTTTCCCTTTTCAGACCTGTAAATAATGTTCCCTCAGCGAGATCAGTCAACCATTGTATACTTCTCTCTCTCTCTCTCTCTCTCTCTCTCTCTCTCTCTCTCTCTCTCCCTTATCAAGTAGAATCAATTGTGAGCTACTGTGTGCCCCATTCCTCCACCTTCTTTCTTAGATTGTACCTTTAGAGATGAACATCTTTTCTCTTGTGCAGTTTCGGTAACGACAACAACCAACACCCAATCTAAACACGTATGCTTAGCTCAAATAAAAACCACAAAAAATCCAAAATCTTCGTTTACTCTGTGTGTTTATTTATTTGAATTCGGAGAAAGATCAGAGTGTGTGTTTGTGTGTTCTGGCATCTGAAAATTCATTGGCAAGAGTGAAGAGTGTGTAAAGGTGGTGACAATGACAAGGAGGTGTATATACAAAATAATTCATAGGCAGGCAGGCAAGATAAGAAACGAATGAGTAAGAAAGAAATGAGAAAGCAGAACTACCAAACTTTTTCTCTTTCTTGAAGAAGATCAATAAACTGATTTTTTGCCTAGATTTGAAAAAATGATGATATTTGCCGTCTCTTTGAGCAGTGTAAAAAGCTATAGCTACTTGTGTGGCGCTTTCATTGGAAAAGCACTGGGAGAGCAACTCTTCATTTTTCGAATCAAGGCAAAAAATCTAAAGTCTAAAGATCATTAAGAAGAGAAGCATGGAATAGTAGAATGAGAAAAATAGTGTGATCCAAAAAAAAGCAAAGCATCGAGGTGAAGAAGCAGAATAATGAGCAAAAGCATAAGAATAAGAATAAGAATAAGAATAAGAATAAGCATAAGCTGTTGTTTTGGTGGTGGCAATGACGCAGTAATCCTCCTGCTGCTCACCCTGCTGACTCACTGCTCAAACTTCTTCCACTCTGCGCCCTCGCCGGGCGCCATCTCCACCTGCTTGCTGCCCACCTCGGCCCAGTTGGTGCTGAGGACGGTTCCGTTCGACTCCATGAAGGACTTGTTCATCGCTCGGCGGGTGTTCTCGTCCGCATTGGCGTAGATCGACTGGAAAAGCCGGTCGACTCCCTGGTGCTCCTCCTCCTCCTTCTCCTGCTCCTTCAGCAGGGCCTCCAGGCGGGCGAGCTTCTGCTGCGGCTTGGCGATCACCTCGCTCACCACCGCCTCCTCGGGCGGCAGGCTGGAGAGGGAGGCCATCGGAACGGCGGTGGAGATTTCGGTGGCCTAGAGACAGAGAAAGAGAGAGAGAGAAACAGAGGTTAGAATCGGAGAAATAGAACAACTCAAAACGAAGCACTCACCTCGAGCTTGCCCCAGCGAAGATTGGCCACCTTGCGCAGCTTCACCTCAGCCTTGACAGCGCTCACCCGGAAGCTGCACTCGCCGGGGATGATGCTGCTGGGAAAGTTCAGTGCCAGCTCCAGCGGCTCGCTGGCGAAGTTATCACCACCATCGGAGGCGGCGGAAGTCGGAGGACCGCTGTACTTGAAGAGAAGGGATCGCGGCTCGAAGGCCACCGAAACCGACTCGGGGGCGAGCCGCTTCACCAGCACGTTGATGACCAGCGCCGAGTCCGTCTCGTACCAGTCAAACTTGGGTCGGACTGGAGCCTTGCTGGCGGTGGCGGTGGTGTTGGTGGTGCTAGTAGTGGAGTCCATCGTTTGGCTGTTTATTAAGTTGAAGTTGGAGTTGAAGTAGAAGTAGAAGCGGAAGAGGATTGCGACAAATGAGAGGAGAAGAGAAGAGAACCTTCGAGAACGCCGCTAGAAGAGAAAGTGATTCTGCAGAGACTGGACAACAATAACAACAACTGCAGCCTTGGTCGCGCACATGTGAGCACAGCTGTCTTTTCTCTACAGGGAAAAAGTGGTTTCCACTGGCCGTCGCACGATGGCGCCACTCTACACAATTTTTTGAATTTTTTTTAAAGGGCGCGAGGTCGGTAAACGTACTTTTTCTGTTCTCAGAAACTTGTTTTGGTGCAATCAATATAGTGTGTGTGTGTGCATGTTTGTCGAGCCCAGCTAAAGGTTTTCGCCAGTGTCGCCGCCATTTTTTTGTCAGTCTCCAGTTTTTGTTTTTCGTTTGAGGAGCAGAGAAGCCTATTAGGAGATAACAGACCCTGGTCTCTAACATATGAGCAGAAAATGATGACGTCTACCAGTTTTCTTTTGTCTGTCTGTCGGATTTTTGCCCCCTTTGCCCCCTGTCTACTGCCTGTCCATACTAATTGAGCGTACCTTGAAAAAATAATAATGCCAGTAAAACAAATAACTGCTGCTGCTGCTGCGTCTGTACCCTGAATGCCGAAGGTGAACTCAATTGGAGGTGGCTCATTTACTCTCCTCTGCAGCTATTACCATCATTATTATTTTTGCTATTGAGCAATTGATGGAGAAAAAGCAGAAAAATTTGGTGATCGTCAGTAGTAGGAGAGAAGGGAGAAAGACGAATCAATCAGTAGTTTACCGCTGCGCACTTTTCCTTCCTTCTCGGATAAAAAAGATCAGAAAACAGTTTTCATTTATTTTTCTAGTTTTCTTTTTACAGTTTTATTTTTCTAGTTTCAGTGTACAGTCACCAGTAACAGCTCATCAAAAAAATGGTCAACTTTCTCCTCCTCTTCAACTTTCTTCTCGTGGTCAGCTTTTTGGGCGTTTCAACTGTCCATGGCGCCGCCCTACTCTCAGCTGGGCCCAACTCCGCTCCGGCCCAAGAACCGGCAAACATTATCAGCCACGCAAATGTAAAGGTGGACAGCAAGGTGGTCAACTTCCGGGGCAATCCAAAACACAAGGCGTTGCACGTGAGTTTTGTAGTTGGATTTATAAAACCAGATTTCATCTTTTTGCTTAACTTTCCTTATTAGATAAAGTACGAAAATGACATTACCATCAACAACATCGTCGAGCTGGTGCAGGCCATCTACGGCGCCTGCGTCCGCTCAAAGGCGCCCGACGCCGGGCGTGACGTCTGCCGGGCGAAGATCAGCGCCGTCGTCCAGAACAGCCTCAACGTCGTCTTCGACGGTGTCGAGCTGGCCAACCACCTGCTGATCAATGGCATCCGCCTAGGTGAACCCGGCTCCAAGGAGGCTCTGGTAAAAGCTGCTCAGCAGCTGAGCAAGAAATAGTGGTAGTCTTTGAAAAATTGAAACGCTGACATTTTTTAAAACAAGAAACATCAAGAGCTTATAAACGTTTGAGGAGGAGGAGGAGGAGACCAGAAACTAGAATTAATTAATAACATCAATTTTTGAGCAAAAACTTAAGGAAAAAGAAAGGGAGAAAGGGAGGAAAAGGAGTTTATTTATTTATTCTAAAACTCAAATTTAAAGTTTTGTTTGCAAACTTTTTCTGTTTGAAAACGACAGTCCGCCAAATGTCGTTTTCAAAAGTAGTTTGTGGCAATAACAACAGTAGCACAAAGCAAACCAAAAATACCTTTTTGTTAGCAATTTTTATTCTCTTGTTTTTTCCCTTTCTAAATCCCAAAAAAACCTGAAACCGAAATTAAAACTTTTAAAAACTACTTTTTCTGCATTAAACAAGTAGTGAGTTTTTTCCAAACGTTTGTAAACTGATATTTTTGCACATCAAAAGATGAAGGCATTTATATGCCATTTGGATAATATCTCACAGATCAGAACAA